TCATGACGTTGACAAACTCCTGCAGCGACAGGAACCCGTCGTAGCGCTTTTCCACCGTCCGCGAGAACATGGCCACGTCGCTCTCCGTCGGGGCGTGGCCCAGTGAGCGCACCGCCTGCGGTGCAGCGGGCAGAATGACGCCTCGGGCGAGCGAGTCGCGGCGGCAGCGCGCCGCGGGGCCGCGAGCCTGCGCCAGCAGCAACCTGGGGGAGCTCACGCCGATGAACTGCTCCACGTCCAGGCGGCCATCCCTGTCCTCGTCGAAGAAGGCAAACACCTCCCCCATCTCCACCGCGGCAGCGTCTTCCTCTGGCGGGGCGAGCGAGGGACTCTCCATCTTGTGCGTGCCGAGCCAGGGGGCGTCGGCCGAGCGCGATGTGCCGGCAGAGCTGCTGCGGTGCGGCCGTGCTAGCATGCCCGCCGAAAAGGCGCACAAGCCAGGCTCGGGGCTGCGATGAAGATAGCCCTGGCGGTCGCGTTGGCCATGGCCGCCGGGCGGGGCGGGCTGGCAGCAGGGCCGGAGCTGTGCGCGGTGCGCTGGGTGTGGACCGGGCCTCCGCACAACGCTTCGGCTGCGGTGGCCTTGGAGGAGCGGCCGGCGGCCGTGAGCCTGGAGTGCGACCGAAAGTCTGCGCGGGTCGGCCTTCGCATCGTGCAGGAGAGCGGGGCGGCGGTGTCTTGGCGGCCGACGGCCGATTCGCCGATGCCGCTTCCCGGCCGCCGTGTCCTGCACGGCCGCTTCGCGGCCAACGCCTCCGAGCTCGCCAGGGAGCCGGCGGCGTTTCGCGTGGTTGCGTGCGACCAGGCTTGCGCCCCCGCCCAGGCAGAGTCTTGCTGCGGGGAGCCGTCTCCCCTGCAGCTGCTCCGGGCCTGGCCGCGGCCCCGGCGCGATGGCTTCGGCGGCTCCCGAGTGGTGATCGGGGCGGCGTCATGCATGCGCACGGGCTCCAGGCACCCGGTTCTTGACGTGATGGCCGGCTCGGGCGCTGCGCGGGCTCCTCGCGGGAGCCGCTATCTGGCGCCGCCGCAGCCCGACGTGTTCCTCCTCACGGGCGACCGAAACTACGCCGACACGCCGGGGCCCGACGCCGCGCGCGTGGCAGCGGCCTACGCGAGGTCCATGGGATCCGCCGGGCAGGCCCGCTGGCTGGGGAGCGTGCCTGTGGTGGCCACGTTCAGCGACCACGATTTTGCCGGGGACAACTCCGACGGCGACGCCCCGGCAGCGCCCGCCTCCCGGCTGCTCCACCACATCGTCGCGCCCGAGCCGCAGCCTGTTCTCGGCCCCCGCAGCAGCGCGCCCCTGCCGCAGCAGCGGGCCCTCGCCGCGGGGTGGGAGCCGAGCGTGCCGGCGCCGCAGCGGGCCGTCACTCAGGCCTTCTCAGTGGGTCGCGTGCGGGTGCTCGTGCCGGATATGCGATCCTTCCGCAGCCCCGTGCGGTGGCGCGACGGCCCGGGGAAGCGTCTCCTGGGCGCCGACCAGCTCGCGTGGGTTCTGGCGGAGGCGGAGGCCGCGCTGCGTCCCGGAGGCGGCCACGTGCTTGTGGCGCTCGTGTTCGAGCTGCCCTGGGCAGTCAGGGGTGCGAAGTGGGGGGCGTTCGAGGCAGAGCGAGCCCGCATCCTCAGGGGACTGCGCTGTGGCGCGGCTGCAGCGGAGGCCGCCGGTTGGCCCTGCCCCACTCAGCACCATAACGAGTCGGCACCGTCCCACCCTGAGGCGTGGTGGACGGGAGCAAGCCTCGACCGCAGGGTCGTCATCGTGAGCGGCGACGCGCACATGCTGGCCGCAGACACGGGGGCGAACAGTCCGGGGGGGCTCCCCCTGCTGCAAGCCGCCGCCCTGGATGCGCCGGGCTCCGTGAAGGGCGGGCCATACACCCACGGCCCCGTCCCCGGGAGCGGCCAGTTCGCCACGGTGGAGGTGACAGACCTCGGCAGAGACGCCAACGCTGTTGGCAGAGCCGTGGCCCGGTCAGGGCGCCACGTCATCGACCCAGCCAGCGGCGCAGGCATCTGCCTCCGATTCACGGGCTGGCGCGTCCCCCGGTCGGAGAGCGGCTGGCCCCGCAATGGCTGGAGCACGGGGGCGTCGGCTCTGCCGGAGGGCCTTGCGGAGCCTGTGCTGGTCTTCGACACGTGCGACGCGAGCGTGAGCCTGGCGATGGGGAGGGTGGCGGAGGCGGTGTGGGGCGCAGGTCAGGGCCCCGAGGGCCGTGGGCGGGGCCCTGGGGGCCGTGGGCGGGGCCCCGAGGGCTGCGTGGGAGGGCCTGTCGAGGGCGGCGGCGCGAGGGCGGCCAGTGTGAACGCCGACGGAGCCAGCGAATGGGACAGAGCCGGCGCGGGGCGCTGTGCGCAGTCGGGCACCGATGCGCCGCTCGCTGCCCAGGCGGGCACCGACCCGGTGCTCTGGCCGCCGACCTGGCGAGATGCTGGCGCGACCGACGGCGCTTCCGGTGGCGGCGCGAGTGCTGGGCAGAGCTGGCCGCAGCAGTGGCTGGGCAAGGCGGTGGCGTTTGGCCCGCGCGCAGCCGTGTCGTGGCTCCGGGACGGCAAGGCGGTCCAGAGGGCCACGGTGGCGGCGCAGACGTTGCTCGTCCGCGCGCTGCGATGGTGGTCTGGGGAGGAGCTGGGGCGCTGTCTGGATGAGTGCGTGGAGCCGTGGGCTCGCGTGGCCTCCCCTGCAGAGGCCGCGGCGGTGGGCGGGGACGGGCTGCGCCGTGACAGTGAGGGCCGGGTTGACGGCGGCTCGCTGCTCGCCCTTCTTGGCCTGAGGTATCCCAGCGACCAGCTGGTGGCGCTGGTGGACTGTGGATGCCTGCCACCGGCCGCCGCGGACTTGGTGCTGGCTCTCAGCGACTGCGGCAACGGCCGCATGCTCAGCCAGCAGCTTGCCTGGCTGGTCTCACCGCGCGAGAGCGAGCGGGGCCGGGTTCGCCGGTCGACTGTGGTGCTGCTTGCCGGGTTGGTGGTCTCCGTCGCAGCGCTGGCGCTTGGCACCGTGGCGGGGGTGGCGGCAGTGGCCGTTTGCGCGTGCCGCTGGCGGCGCCGGGCTAAGCGGTCGAGCCTGATTGCTGCGTCTGCGCCCGCCCCCCCCGACGCACAGCGTTCCCTCGCACCAGGGAAGCGCGCTGGCGCTTCGTCGGCCAGCAGCCTCCAGGCAGGCAGTGGCGCAGATGACGAGCTGCCGCCGGCTGCGGAGGATCCCGCGTCCCCCTCATCGCCAGCGGCGCCCGTGCGTGCAGGGCGGTTCCCCGCAGGAGCCGTGTCGGCGATAGGGCTCATGTCGGGCACAAGCCGCGACGGCGTGGACGCTGCCGCCATCGTGACGGACGGCGTGCGCGTGTTGGAGCTGGGGCCCGCCGTGACGGTGCCGTACTCGGCGGAGCAGGCAGCTTCGCTGGAGGCGGCCGTGACAGCAACCCGCCGCTGCGCCCTCTCCGGCAAGGAGGTGCCCGCCCATGTCGTTGCCGCCGCTTGTGACGCTCTCGAGGCCGTCGAGGCGGCCGCCCTGGCCAAGGTGGCGGCGCTGGTCGACCGCAAGGCGGAGTTCGCCCACTGGCCGAGGCGCCGGCTCGTCGGCTTCCACGGCCACACGCTGTTCCACGACCCAGACGGCGAGGCCGGTCCGCGGCGGACCCTGCAGATTTCGCGGGCGGGGTCCCACGCGGCGCGGCACGCCGGCTGGGCCATGTTCCACGACTTCCGAGCGGCGGACTTTGCCTCCGGAGGTCAGGGTGCTCCGCTGGCTCCCGTGTTCCACGCATGCATGGCTCTGAACGGGCCCACCAGCCGAGCCGAAGGCCGGGCGCGACGCGGGTGCGTCGTTGTCATCAACATCGGCGGGGTGTCGAACCTCACTCTGGTCGCTGAGGAGGCGGCAGAGCTCGTGGCGCTCCCAGCACCGGACGCAGCAGACGCCGGCCAGGCGGCTGACCTGTCCAAGGCGCGCCTTCGCAATGCTCTGTTCGCGACTGACGCCGGCCCAGGAAACGCCCTGCTCGACGACTTGGTGCGGGCCGAGGCGACGAGGCGCCCGTGTATGGCTGCGCGGCCGGCTGAGCCAGCCACAGCACCCCCCGCGCGCACGGACCCTGAGAGAAGGGTGGGCGCATCGAGTGAGTCGGGGTCCGGCGAGGATGCGGACGCGGATGCGGATGCGGATGCGGATGCGGATGCGGATGCGGATGCGGATGCGGATGCGGATGCGGATGCGGATGCGGATGCGGATGCGGATGCGGATGCGGATGCGGATGCGGATGCGGATGCGGAGGTGGGGGTGGAGGCGCAGCCAAAGACCGCTGCGGCGGAGGCGCTCGAAGCTGGGTTCGACGTTGGCGGCAGGCTGGCGAGCGGAGGGCGGCCCAACGCCGAGGCACTCGGCCGCTGGGCCAAGGCTGACGCGTTCGCGAGCAGGCTCCCGCCCAAGTCGCTCGACCGAGACGCCTACGCCTTCGTCGGGAGGGAGGCCGAGGCGGCGGTCAGGGAGGGCCGCTGGTCGCTGGAAGACGCGGCAGCCTCGCTTGCCTGCTTCACAGCGGAACGGCTCGCGCGCGAGACCGAGGCTTGCACCCGCGCCACTGGCCACGCTCCGGGGCTGGCCATCGTCTGCGGGGGGGGGCGCAAGAATTCGCGCATCATGGCGGAGCTTCGGGCGCGCATGCCCTGCGAGGTCCACTCAGCGGAGGAGGCAGGCTGGGACGGCGACGCTGTAGAGGCCCAGGCCTTTGCGCTGCTAGCTGCGCGCTGTGACCGCTCCCTGCCGTCGTCGTTCCCGTCCACAACCGGCTGCCCGGCGCCGGTCGTGGCAGGGGTGCGCGCTTGACCAAGCTGCGTGCTGTTCGACTCGCGCCTCGCCCAGTAACCTGTTGGTTTGAGTTGCGGGTCACCTGCCGCGTTCGCCTCGTGCGAAAACAGCGTGCGAAGGGCGCTGCAACCGGCGGGCAGCGGATGCGAGTGTGGACAGGTTCCATATTTGAAATTCATGACGGAAGACACGGTTTGGCACGGTAGCTTAGTTGGTTAGAGCGCGGGCCTTTTAAGCCCGATGTCGCGGGTTCGAGTCCCGCTCGCGCCTGTATACCATTTTCCTTTTTTCCACCTCACCGCCAAGGGTCGTCGCCAGCATGCCACGTCAAGGCCGTTGTTCTCACCCGGCAACGGTACGGCAAGGGCACGAGCATCGGGGTGGGCGTGGGGGGAGCAGCTCCCGACCCCGCCTGGTCGGGCGGGGCGGGGCGGCCCAAGTCTGCAAGCAGGCGCTCAGTGGCGCTGGCAGAGGCAAGTTGCGAAAGCCAGCAACATTTTGCGCACAACGCGCCGGGCCCCGCCATGGCATCCCGACCCGCGGACGCCGCCGCCCAGTCTGCGGCACACTTCAAGGTGCTGACGGCGCCGGGCCAACGCTGCGACGAGGACGTGCTCGAAATGATGCACTGTGAGCAGCAGCGGATCCATGAAGCTTCCGATTGCTCGCGCAGAACTGGCTGACCGCGCCTCGCATCTCGCGGCCACGGAGGCGCGCGGCGACCGGGGCCGCGCGTGGCCTCGCTGGCAGCAGCTTCGAAGCGCTGTGCTGCCGTGCGAGCGGGGGCACAGTGCGATTGGGAACGGGCGTCATCGTTGCGCTCCGGCCGTCCTCGAGCCAGTGTGTTTGCGCTCAGGGCAATAGCTCACGGGACGCCCGCAGGACGGAGGGGTCGCCGCCTCTTGCGCTATTGCACCTACTTGCTTTGGGGGGAGGGGGGGGGGCTCGTGAAATCACGCGGCCTGCGCTCTCTGTAAGGCTTGACCGCCTCTCGATGAAAGCTTGCTGTTCCTGCTCGCGCGTCGGCCGCCAACGCGACCCGCAGACGCGTCCGACTCTGGAAGTGGTGGCAAGGCCAGCGCGGGGACTTCTGGCAACGCTCAGGGGCTCCCGTATCCGGACAGCGACCCGCTGCCGCTGCCGGACGTGGTGATGCGAGCCAGTGCGCACCCGCCGCGCACGGAGCTGGACGACGTTACCGCGGGGCCGCTCCGCCTGGCCCTGTTGACTGGCTTGTCGGATGTGCAGCCAGCGCGCCTGCGCGACGTTCTGCCCGGAGCAGCAGGCGAGACCCTCTCCAGGGAGTCGTTCATCTCGGGAGTGCTTCGGCTTCTGGCAGAGCCGGGGTCCCACCCGCCGGTCACCGCGGCGGCCGCGAGGCCTGCTCTCAGCGCCCTGTTTGACAGCCTCGACGTGGACGCGAGCGGGGGCCTTGACACGGCTGAGATGTGCGCCGGCGTCCTCCTCCTCTCACGCGCCCCCCACCAGGCCAGGGCGGACGCCACCTTTGCTCTCGCGGCCGCGTGGTCCTCCCCCCTGCACCACAGCCGCCCGGCCCACGGCGTGCCCGCGGCTGCCCTGGCCGCCTGCCTGGCCCCCTCCATGTCCCTGCTTCTCCAGGAGCGCCCCTCCGTGATGTCGCGGACTCTCGTCACGGCCAAGTCGGCCGACGTCGAGGGCGCAGCTGCGCCCAGCGCGCGCTTCCTGGCGCGGGCTGTGGCCGCCGCGGCCAGCGCCGGGTCGTCGGCGTCGGGTGGCCGCGGAGACGGCGTGGTGGCGCTCGCTGCCTGGCGTGCTCTCTGCGCCAAGGCGGCAGCAGCGGGGGCCCAGCTGGCCCGGGCGGAGGCGGCGGCCATCGGCAGAGAGCAGGCCCGCTTCGAGCGGGGCACGGCGGAACATTCCGCCGCGGCCGCGCGCCTCGCCAGGTCCCAAGAGGCGGCCTCCACTGGCCTGCTGGCGGCCGTGGCCTTGGTCAAGCTCGCCGCGCAGGCCATCAGCCAGCCGGGCGTCACCCTCCCTCGCATCCCCCCCGCCGCCCCGGCGACCGGCCCCAAGGCTGGGTCCCAGCCAGCCTCCGACGCGCCGGAGGAGATCGACGCCGACGCCCTTCCGCGCTTCCCGGGCACGGCCAAGGCTCGCCGGCAGGGCTCGGCCGCCGGGCAGGCCGCGCCCTACCCCACCGCGGCCTCGGTCGCGGCGCCTGGTGGCGCCCCCGCGAACGCTCCCGGGCCCATTGCCATGCAGGCTGCGGCCTCCCTGCCGGACGCTGGCCAGCCGCCCCCGCCGCCCTACTCCGCCGCTGACGAGGCGGCGGCCCCCCGAGCTGCCCGCCGCGCCTCCGTCGGCTCCGCCCAGTCGGGCGCGGCACCACCCCCGCTGCAGGCCGGCGTGTCCTCCACCGACGCCTCCGGCCGCCGCGCCGCCCTGGCCAACCTCTCTGCCAACGTGGCCAGTCTCGCGGCTCGCATGGGCCTGGACAGCGTTCCGCTCGACGCCCTCTCTCGAGCCTTCGCCCTCGTGGGGGTGCCGCTGCAGCACAGCGCTGCAACGCACCGCCCAGCCGCCCCGTCGGCTGCGCTCCCGGGACGGCGGGACGCCCCAGGCAAGACGCACCGCGTGTCTTCGACGCAATTCGCCGCGGCCGTCTCCAACGCCGCCATGGCTGCAGGGACTGTCGCCGATCCCGACGCCGTCCGCACCGCCTTCCGGGCCATGGACACCAGCTCCGACGGCAGCGTGTCCTCGGCCGAGGTGGCTGTCGGAGTGGTGGTGCTCAGCGCGTCGACGCCCAGCGCGAGGGCGGAGCGTATCTTCGCGCTGTTCGACATTGACGGCGACGGCCGCGTGTCGCAGCTGGAGCTCACCGCCTGCCTCGCCTCCCTCTTCCGGCTGGCCGCCGCCGTGGACGAGTCCTGCCTCGGCGACGTCGCCTCAGGGCCGGGCGAGCTCGCCGTGCTGACGGCGCAGGAGGTCATGGAGCAGAGCGACGTCGACAGGGACGGCTTCATCGACAGGGAGGAGTGGCGAGCTTGGATCGCGGGCCGAGCCTCAGGGCGGGGCAGCAGCAGTGCCGCCGCCGCCGCCGCGGCCGGCCGCTCGGCCGCAGATGCGGCAGCGGCAGAGCTCGTGGCCCTGGTCGGGAAGGGCCTGCTCTCCGCGCAGGCGCTGCAGGTGGCTCGGGACGACGGCTCTGCCGGCGCAAGCTGCCTCGGCCTCGATGCCGGGCCGGAGGACGTCGACGGCCACACGGCGCTGCGCCGCCGCCCCGGCCTTCTCCGCGCCGTGCTCGGCATCCGCGGGGCCACGCCGGAGCAGCTGGCCGGGCGGGTGCAGCGGGCAGCGGGGCCGGACGGCCTGATCTCCATGGACACGCTGGGCCCTGCGCTGGACGGGCTGGCCGACCAGGGGCCCCAGCGAGGGCTCTTCGTCGGCGCCAGCGCGGCGGTGGAGGCCGCGGCTGCCGCCGTGGCCGGGGGCGCGGCGCCCCCCCGCCGGTACATCCCCGCCTCGTCGATGCTGCCCGCCGCGCGCGGCGCGGTGCTCCGTCGCGTGTTCCGGGCGTGTTCCGTCGGCGGGGGCGACTCCGCGCGCGGTGACGTCATCGCCGCCGTCCTCGCTGTCCTGGCGTTGGCTCCCGCTGCGGACCGTGCGCGTGCCGCCACAGCCGCGCTAACTGCTTCCACGGACTCTCCCGGCGCGGGGCTTGCCGTGGGCGACCTCGCGGCGCTTCTCTCCGCTCTGCTTTCGCTGCGCCGGGCGCTGCTTCGCATCTCCCACCCGTGGGTGGCCGACTCCCCGCTCCTGGACGACACCGTCTCAGCGGAAGCCCGCCTCTCCCATGCCCAAGCCATGCTTCGGGCCGGGCACCGCCTCGCGCGCGATCTCCTCGCAGACGAAGGCGGGCCCTCGCTCTCGCCCGCCGCGCTGGCAGCGTGGATGGAGGGCCCGGGGGCTTGGCTCACCGACATCGAGGACCCTCGCTTCCTCGCCCCCGTGCCGCAGCACGTCCTCGTCGTCGCAGCGGGCCCCACCTCCCCGGACGAGGCGCCCGGCGCCGCCGCAGCCGTGGCCGTGCCGGTGCCGCCGCCCGCTGCAGCAGCTGCAGCCGCCGCGGCCAGGCAGATGCGGGTCGCAGGGGCGACCTGCCGCCTCGCCCTCCACGCCCAGCCCGCCTCCAGCGCGGCAGCGGACGACGGGTCCACCCCCGTCCTCACCGACGCCGCCGAGGAGGCAGCGGAGGCGGGCCTTCTGTCTGACGAGGACGAGGACGAAGCCGCCTGGCTGGCCGCCGCTGGCCCCAGCCTGGATGCAGCCATCCGTCGCTACAAGGAGCAGTGCGCTGCCAGGGAGGAGCTGTCCTCCACAGAGGGCGAGGGGTCTGAGGCCAGTGGCAACGTCGCCGGGGCTGCAACGGCGGCTGCCGCTGCCGCTGCCGCCCCGGCTGCGCGCCCGCCCGCCCACGTCGCCGCTGCAGCAACCGCCGCCGCCGCCGCCGCCGCCGCCGCCTCAGCCCCGGGTCCGGCGCAGCCCTCGCGGGCAGGGCGCCAAGCCGACGCATCGTCCGAGTGGGCGGGCCGCGCCTCCGCGGGTGCGTCCCCAAGGTCAGCCATGGCCGCGGCAGCCACCGTCTGCGAGGAGGGTCGGGCCAGGGAGGCCAAAGCAGACCTCCGCTCCATGCTCGTGCTTGACACCATGTCCCCCGCGCAGGCTGCTGCCCGCCTCGCTCCCCTGCTGGCGCCGGCCGTGTCGCGGCCCCTCTCCGTCGGGGAACTTGCTTGCCTCGTGTCGCGGTTTCGCGGCGGCGACGGGACCATCAAGTCCATGCCGCGCTCGGCCACGCTGCAGGTGGGGGCGCTGTTCGCGGCGCTCGACACCGACGGCTCCTCCGGCCTCGACGCGGCGGAGCTGGCCGTCGGCATCACTGTGCTCGCCTCCGGGTCGCACGCGGACAAGCTCGTCGCCGCGACGCTGCTCTGCGAGGCCGTCAGGACCGTGTCAGGGGGCCTCATCGACCAGGCCGACCTGCCTGTGACCCTCCTCCGCCTCGCGACGCGTCTTCCGGACTCCGTGGTGCTCTCACCTGAGACGGTGCGCACCGTCGCGGATGCCGCTCTCCGCACCCAGGCAGCCCTCTCGCCCGCCCTGACCAGGGACTGCCTTCGCTTCGTTGCGGAGCACGGCGGCCCCGACGGAGCGCCCGGCGCCGCGGACGGGGTCGACCTCTGCCGCGCCGCCAGGCAGCTCCTGGCAGCGTCCGACCCCGTGCCCCG